AAAAATAATATAAAAATATAAAATTTATGTATTTATAAAAATTGTCTGAAATACAATAGTTAACAATTCAAAATATTCAAAATATCAAAGAAAATCTTTTTTCATTCCCCGAATAATAATTCTGTCATCTCGATTGCATCTCTAATTCGATAGCAATATAACCTCCATTAATCTTGTTTGTAGATCAGATCATATTTTACATTTTAGTAGCTAGCAGTGGATTCAAGAACATGGAAAAATATTAATCCATTACCAACTAATTTTCGTTGACTTAATGCTATCTTTCAATTTCTAACAACCAGTCACAATCTCATGTACAATGCCAACTTGTTATGACGTTAACCTTACAAAACAGAATAAAACTTTTTGATATATCCTCAAGCTAAGATTGTTATGATGACACGACCTAACTTTGGACATATAAAGTATTCCTTGCGTAAAATTATTTTTGATTCCCTAAAACAGAATTTTTTTGATAACTTTCAAGATAAAGTATTCCTTGAGTAAATTATTTTCCAAGCATTTATTCCCTAAAACAAATTACTACTTTTTTATATGAAGCTTAAAAAAGGTATTCCCTGACAACTCAAAAATAAATTCTTTGATTAAATCATTTTTTACTGCTGATATTGCTTCTTTTTCATGGCTTTTTTCACTATTGTATTTCCTTTTAGAATTGTTAAGACTGTGTATACACTACCCTCCTCAAAATTATACTGGGTTGTTGTAACCATAACAACCACAACTTCCATATACTCCCATACTATCATATGGATAATATGTAACCAATCTTTATGTCATAGGAGATCATTTTATTTGTAAATCAACTTTATACGTAAAATCTTATTTCGTCAATTATAATTTAACTTAAAGAGGCAAATGGAGAAAGAATAAAACAAGCACATTATGTATAAACCACACGTTGATGGGAAAGAGAATGGACTTGAAAAGTAACATTGAGAAAAAGAAAGAATCATTATATTGTCTTTGTTGATCTAGGACAGAAATTAAATAAATAATATTCCTTCTTTATGTAATGCACTTTCTTTTAAAACCTCTCTCAAAAAAATTGATATTTTTTATCTTTAAAAATTATTTAATATTAAATTTTTATTTTACTCTTAGATAATTTATAATCATACATACATCTATATCTTATTTTAGACCATAACTTTTTTAAAAAAAATTAAAATTTCGTGTCCCGGTTGGGAAAGTAGAGAAAATTGTCTGAAAAAACAGAGAAAGGGGTTAGGGAAAGTACATCAAAATGACCACTTACATTGACTTTTTCTGCAGTTCATACTTACTACTTATAGTATAATATAATATAATATAACCTGTAAGACCAGTTCAATTATTTTACTTGTAAGACAAGATCATTTATTCTACTAGTATTATTTTACTCCATATGGTATCAAGTTGACTTAGCAATTTGCATTTATTTTTTTTCTCTCTAGATCAACAAACCAAAACAACCAAGCACAAACAACCATGGCTGAAGTGCTTGTTTCCATTGTCCTTGACCAGTTGGGCAATTTCATTGTGGAGCAAGTTAAGGGACAAGTTGATGAACTAAGAATGGCTATTGGGATCAAGAAAGAGATCCAAAGTCTATCTTTGAAGTTGAAAATGATTAAAGAAGCATTGGATGATGCTGAGAAAAGAAGGGTCAAAGACAAAAATGTTAAACATTGGCTAGAAATTCTTGAAGACTTTTCATATGACACAGATAATGTGTTAGATGAATGGAAAACAAGAATTCTACAGCAAGAAATTGAAAGAAATGAGGCTGCTACTACTGCTGCTTCAATTCCTAGGAAGAAAGCAAGTTGCTTTTTTCTACCTTCTTGTTTTACTTTCAAGAAACTTGAGGTGAATCGCGATATTGTTCGAAAAATAAAGGAATTGGATGTGAAGTTAGAAGGGATTGTGAGAGAAAAAGATCAGTTCAGTTTTGTAGTTAATGCAAATGGTGTTGTTTCTGATCAAGATGTGTTTAAAAGAGTTATGACTACTGGCATTGTTGATGAATCAGAAGTACATGGTAGAGATTCTGATAAAGATGTTGTAATAAGTAAGTTGCTTGAGAGTAATGATCAAGAAAATGGTCTCCTTGTTGTCTCTGTTGTGGGCACAGGTGGGATTGGAAAGACAACTCTTGCACAACTAGCCTATGGTGATGAGAAAATAAAGGGTCATTTTGATGAAAGAATTTGGATTTGTGTATCGGACCCTTTCGATGAAGTTAAAATTGCGAAAGCTATTCTTGAATCTCTAACTAAAAGCTCACCAAATCTGTCTCAACTGCATATGTTGTTAGAAAGAATTCAAGAATGTGTCTCTAAGAAAAGGTTCTTTCTTGTGCTAGATGATGTATGGTCTGAAGATTATTCGAAATGGGAACCGTTGAAGAACTCTCTCAAGAATGGAGCTCCCGGAAGTAGAATCTTGGTTACATCTAGGAGTGAGAGGGTTGTCGGAATGATGGGAAGTTCTTACATGCATCGGTTGGGACAAATCTCGGATTCAGATTGCTGGTCATTGTTTAGTCGGATAGCATTTTCAGGAAGGAATAAGGAGGATTTTGAGAATTTAGAAGATATTGGGAAGAGAATTGTTCGAAAGTGCAAAGGATTGCCACTTGCTGCAAAGACTATGGGAAGTCTCTTGCGCTTTAAGGATACAGAAGAAGAGTGGCAAACTGTTTTAAACAATGAAATATGGGAAATGGAGGAAGTGGCAATAGACCTATTTCCTCATTTGTACTTGAGCTACGACGATTTGCCCCCCATCTTGAAGCGTTGTTTCTCATATTGTGCCATTTTCCCTAAAGATACTGTCATAAATGTAGACAGATTGATCAGAATTTGGATGGCACAAGGTTATCTCAGCACACTTGAAAATAACCAACAGGAAGTAAAAGGGCGTGAGTATTTCATGAACTTAGCCACGCGCTCTTTCTTTCAAGAGCTGGAGAAAGATGACAAAAATGCAAGTGTTATAATATCTTGCAAAATGCATGATGTAGTGCATGATTTTGCTCAGTTTGTTGCTAAAAATGACTGCTATAGCATCAAAGGAACCGAAGCAACTGAAAACAAAGTAGACGTTCTTAGTGTTCGTCATTTATGCTGGGAGAGGAGTGATAGTTCAGTGAATCCTACTTCTATTTGTGATATTGGAAAAATTCGCAGTCTATTTGCTGAACACTTGCACGCAAAAGAGCTTCCTAGAGATCTATTCAAAGGTCTTAAATGCATAAGAGTTCTAAATTTACATGGATGTTTGATGCAAGAACTTCCTGAAGAAATAGGAAATCTATTTCATCTAAGGTACATTGATTTAAGCAGCAGTCAAGTGAAGGACTTACCTGAATCCATTTGCCGCTTGTGTAATCTGCAAACCTTAGATCTTCGCGGTTGTAAGAATCTTTCAACACTTCCTCAACAGATAGGAAAATTGTTAAACTTGAGACACCTCATTACTACTGACATGCCAAAATTGGAATCTTTTCCTCAAGGAATTGGAAGTCTAACTCAACTCAGGACTTTGAGTGACTTTGTAGTTGGGAAAGGATCGAGCAAGTTGGGATATATCGGAAAATTGAACCAACTTCAAGGGTATCTATCAATCCATGTTATCGACAATTTGAACTCTGCAGAAGATGTAGTTGAAGCAGAGAAGGCAGAACTAAGAAGCAAGAAGTACGTTAAAGAACTACGTTTGAATTTCTATTGGACGAGTGAGGTAAGAATGGATGTGATTGAAGCTCTAATACCACCTCCAAATCTTAGATTCTTGACAATCAATGGATACAGAGGTACTCAATTACCAACATGGATAACATTGTCACTTAATAATCTTAGAGTTCTTACACTAAGTGAGTGCTTTAACTGCAACTTTCTGCCACCTTTAGGTAAGTTACCATTTCTTGAAATTCTTTGGGTGAGGCTTATGGATGAGCTGAAACAGGTAGGAAATGAATTATTGGGCTTGCCAGGAACCATTGAACCATTTCCAAAGCTAAAGAAATTGAGATTTGCATATTGTTCAGAGTGGGAAGAATGGACAGACTTAAAACCAGAAGTTGTTATTTCAGTAATGCCTAGTCTCAAGGAGTTAGAATTATATTGCTGTGAAAAGCTTAATAGCCTTCCATATTGTCTCTTGCAAAGGCTGCCATCAATAGTGTCTTTAAAGATCAAGATGTGCCCTTATCTTGAAGTTGACTGGACTAAGATATCCCATATTCAGAATATTGAAACTGGTAATGGGATTTGAGGAATGTTGAATATTTTTGGTGGGGTAATCTTTATATAAGAGAAAAGGGAGACATGGAGCAACGGTAAAGTTATCTCCGTGTGACCTATAGGTCACAAGTTCGAGTCATGGAATCAGCAGTTAACCCTTGTGTTTGGGTAGGCTTCCTACATCGCACCCCAATCAACTTGTGTTTGGGTAGGCTGCCTACATCACACCCCCTTGGGGTGCGGCCTTTCACCCAATCTTGCGTGAATGTGAAATGCTTTGTGCACCGGGTTGCCCATAATTTTTTATAAGAGAATAAAGTCTTCTTATCTGGGGAATGGACTTGTATCTATGTTATGTTATAAGATTATCATACTATTGTCTTTTTGTATTTTGCATGTTGAATTTTTATTACTCCCAGAATTAGAATTACAAAGTTCTCATAAAGCTTCATCTTCTGCTGTTAAGTGTTCCAAGTAATACTTCACAAACTAAATACTTTACACCAACCAAACAATTTAACTTCAGAAGTTACAAATTGAAGTGAAAATACGTATCACGAGATTATTTTCAACTAATAAAGTTTATATACATGACAAATGTTTTGCGTTAATTAGGTTGAAACAAAAAGACAAATTTTCCATACCCTGCGAGTTGCGCGCGACGGTGCATAGAGTTCTTTTCCAGAACATAAGTAATCAAAGAACATATGTTTGATCATTATATCAGCATTCAATTGTCTTAGGTATATCTTTATAAAAAATTGATCTTGATATAAATAGAAATTTTTGGCTATTTTCATTCTCTTTCAATTTATAATGGTACACAGAATTACAAGGTAAGTTGCAAGTGGGCAGACATTGTCACTGGTATCTTTGGTATCAGCCACCTCTGTCCACATCAACTGGAAAGAAGCCAGTTTCTTTTAACAATGCTGGCCTACTTTTATGCTGGACTGTTATAGCAAGTTGAAGTTGTAACAAATAATTAGGCCAAAACTATAGTCTTTATTCTGCAAAATTGATTAGCATCTCTTGGAAGGGGCACAATTTGTTGACTGTTCCTCTTCCTTTCAGATAATTCCTCATGTGCCATAGCAGTCTTTTTCACATCCCGAGGTTGGAGCAAATGCACTACACTGCACCATTAACATTCTCGATATCGTCTTTCGTCAAATGCATCTTGCCTTTGTCTCGTCTGGGGTTTCTTCGTGTTTGATCTGGTTGCCCTCGCTACAGAACAAACAAGATTTTACCAAGATCACAATCACTAGAGTCAATGCCATTGTCCATGCAAAGGCTCTTAGCTTAGGAGATTCCCATATGAAATAATTATATATTGTGATTGTTGTGTTGACACATATTGGTGCCTAATATGGTACCTAGAGTATGACAGGGTTAAAGGGATAAGGGTTCGTTCGACAGGGATATGCTTACTGTTTAAGAAATAATGGTAATATTAAAACATGAACTAGGTATATTAGTACCTTTCTCAGAACAAATGCCAAATAAAGGTAGGCTACCTCCCATTCATCTGGTGATAGAGTACCTGTTATTAGCAACGTAAGTCAGAACAGAAGCTGGGGGGAAGCATATGAAATAACAACATACTTGGATGAAATATCAAAGCAGTAACATTCAGCAGCCAACATAACTAAACTTACTTTGGTCTTGGTTCCCATCACCTAACGCACCGAGCCTCCTCATTAGTTCAACGAACTCTGGTTTCTTCATGTATTCCTCCACAAATACGTGGTTATTCTTCACAAAAACTAGCTCAAAGTCATACTGCATTTAAGAAAACAATGTTGTCAGAAAACACTAAGGTGGCGAGAAACAACTGCATAATATTCTTGAATTCTATCTACGATATACCTTCCTCAGTGGCATTACGTTATATCAGTATTTATGCCTCATATACAATACAGAAAATCTCTCTATTTTCCAGAAGAATTCATGTAGAGTGTAATATACTCTCATTTTGTGAGACTCATAACTAGCATTAGAGAGCTCTCTATCAAGAAAAACGCCTCCTCAATATAAAAGAGAACCAACCAGGGTCTTGATTCAAAGAAAAAATTATATAAGATCCAAAAAAAGAAACATATAAACCTAGGATTTCTCATTTTCAATTAAAGGGAAAAGGATATCTAAAGTCAAAGAACAAATGACTTGTGGGTTCGAAATATATCCAACTAAAAACAGGAAGCACAGACGCTAATACCTCTTCCGCCAATGCCTTGAAGACGTGGAAAGGGACAATCCACTCGGGACAGTCAACAGCATCCTACAATCCAAATCTTAATTGTTTATTTGTAGACAGGCAGAGAAGTCAAATATACTCACACATAAGATGCAATCAAAGGATTTTAAATATCAGGATCCTAACTTGCTTGTCAGGATTTAATAGGAGAAAATAAGATCCCAAGCATAGTACATACAAATTAGTAGGTTGTGTTAACATGGCAACTCCTCACCTGTTAATATGTTCACATTAATATTGTCAAATTGAATATTAATGAATGAGTTTTGAGCACCAAAAAAAAGTATTTGCTTTCATTTATAACACATGCAAATCCTCACAAGTAGAGTAAGAACATTCATTAGTCTGCTAGAACTTGCCGACGTCGAGGCTAAATCAAAAAGACAATAAAAAAGGCAGAATACATCGGCAGGCCATTAAACTTGTCCACACTTTTCACTTAGACACTCTATCTTAAGTCCGTTCCATTTGAACACTCCAATCAGCCCTCTACTGTGTCATTTAGACACAATATGCTGACATAGCAAGGTAAGTGTTTCTCACATTTTTCAAGCGCGTGAATCATCCGGAAAAATAAACTCCACTCGAAAAATGTATAGCTTCTGCCGAAAAATATATAGCTTCTGCCGGAAAATTTTCCGGTCATCTTCTTAGCCCAAATTTTATTTGTTCACACCATTACTACCATATCCTCCTTTAGATCTGGACACCACCACCATCACATTTTAATGTGGCCGCCATCATAAACTTCTCATTTTTCTTCTAAATTTTAAGATTTGGCTAGCCGGTGCAATTCTGGCCGTGAAAGTTGCAACGCTGTAGCTGCCTACCTCATCTGCTCCGTTTGTCTTCCACCATGGGAGTGACCATGGGATGGCACGAACTAGAACTATGACAAGAGCCCCCTCATTGTAAATCGTCGGGCGAAACTTCATTTCTTCCGACGAAGTTTCATTTTATCCCAACAGTTAATTTTGTGACTTGAATCTTAACCTTAATCAGATCCGACTAGATCCGAGCGGATCTGACCAGAAATAACAAGTTTGGCGACCCTTATGCATTAGTGTCTTCTTCTCCTCGTTTTATTCTTTTTATTTTTGTCTACATGTTATAGATCTAAAAACATATGGTGAAACTCCATCATTTTTTAATCCGATCCGAATTTTATTTCTGGCGACTTTGTGGTTTGTTCGGAGTTTCGTTTTTTGGAAAACTTCATGCTTCTGTTCGTTCATTGTTATGATTAAGTTTTGTTATTCTTTGCTGTCCGAATTTGTTGATTTGTTTGCCAATGATTTTATTGGTATTCTATCCATGTTGTTCTGTTTGTTTGCTGCTGCAATTTGGAAGAAAAGTTGGCTGGAAAATAACTTTTCCGGTGAGGAGGGGTCATTGGGAAAGATGACGACGCAACGGGTGGGGTTAAGTTAAATCCACGTGTCTTTATCTTATTCGTCACTCCGGCGTGTGAATTACACGCACCTTTTGTGTTTGGCTGCCTAAGAATTTTGTGTCTAAATGACACAATAAAGACCTTGTTAAGGTGTTCAAATGAAATAGACTTAAGATAAAGTGTTAAAGTGAAAAGAGAGGACAAGTTTAATGGCCTGCCGATGTATTCTGCCAATAAAAAATCCTTCAATATGCACAATTCTAAATGCTTAAAGCAAAAATTGAAAAAAGATGCACGTATAAATAGCTACAGAAAAGGTAGATAAAAATTGTAGCATTGATTCCAAAGTGAAGCCAAGATTAATGTTTTGCAACTAAATCAACAAAAGAACACGTGCTCTAAATTTTTAGCAATAAGATTAAAGGACGCAGCTAAGATACATAAAGGCACATGGTGTACACACCTCCAGATGGAACTTGTATTTGATGCTAAAAGGATTTGAAGATTTAAATTTCTGCAATAATAGAAGATCTTAATATACAATAACACACATACCTAGATTAGAAAGAAAAAAACAGAAATTTCTGTAGAAAATGATAACATAAATTACCTTCTCTGAGAATTCTTCATCAAAACGTATCCAATAGACACTATTACCAAAGGCTAGCCCTTCAGCTGCAATTTCAGAGGAAAAGGGACCATATATATATATCAATAGATCTTTAAGACTGTATAAAAAGCTACTACATAACACATTTCAAAAATATGCAAGGACACCATCACTCCACTAGTCCGAGTGATGAATACACGATCATAAAAGAATGGATAATATTAGATATAATCACAGAGGCTTCCAGTGACATACATGAGAGTATAAAATGAGAAACTGTCACCTAAGATGGTGGAAACCGTGCTTGTAAGTGTGATACTATGATGATTGAAGGTGCTAAAAAGGGACAATGTAGACCTAAAATCATATGGAGGGAAATTGTCCCAAAAGACCTACAACCTCCCATAATCGGTGCAGACTTAACAAAGAAAGAATACAATAGAAGCAAAGGAACTACAAATGCCGACAAGTTAGGATTAAGGTTTAGTTGAATCCTTGTATGTAAGTGTAGGAAAAAGCGTTAGATTTAGGGTGTTTGGTATGATGGAAAATGTTTTCCACGAAAAATATTTTCTAGGAAAATGTTTTCCGGAAAACAAGTGATTTCTTACTTATTTTCTGGTGTTTGGTTACTAAGGAGAAAATATTGTCCCGGGGGAGGGGCGGTTGGAGGGTGGGCGAGGGGTATCAGGGAGGAGGTGGGCAGGGTGAGGTCGGGGTGCAAGGTGGTAGATCGGGGTCTGGGGGTTGGCGAGGGTATGGATTGGGGGTGGCAGTAAGGTTGTGGGNTAGAACGATCTTCTTGTTGAACTTCAGCTCCTTGATTTTTTTGATTGTAAAGATAGAGACGGAAGTGAACACACATCATAAAGACATCACAGTCAAGACATTTACAGTTTCAAGAGGGACAAGCAGAGCAGTGTAGAGCAGAAAATAAACCTTCTCTTAGCTTCTTGATGATGACATTGGCATCTGGCATTGTTCCAATAAATATTCCTCCAGGTCGAAGTAAAGCCGAGACATTGGCCAGCGCACGCCGTGCACGTGCCTCAGTTGACCACGAATAATGCATAGCAAACTGCAAAGTTCAAGTTTACAATAAACTATGAAAGTCCACCCATGACAAGCATAATTTACCGGATAAAGGGCTGTCGCCTCTACAGCTACTATGCAGAGGCATCCAATTAGGAGAATACCGTACATCCAATATTTCCTCAACCTTTACTTCCCCAAAGTTTTTCCTTTTCAAAATTAAGAAAGATGTGGATTATACTCCTTTTTCAGTGAGCTTGTCTGGAAAAGCTTCTGAGCACACCAAGTAATTTCAGTTTTCAATGGAAAAATAACAGGTTAAGATGGACAACGGCGATAGCAGAAAGGAAACATCTAATATAGCCAGGAAGCAGAGCATGAAAGCTTGAGAAGAGATATTTACCAGGGCATCAACATATCCAAAACACCTCAAATTTTCTGGTAGTAAGAGAAATTATCTTTTTTTTTATAGTAAGAGAAGTTGTCTTATAAAGCAATGCAACTCATATAAGCATGTATCTCTATCGGCTAAGCCAGAAAACAGCTAATTGGTACGACAGATTTCTACGGGAAAATAATACTAATGGTCACTGAGAGCGAAATCTCAAACTAAGTTTTTGACCTAAACCTATGAAGAACAAAGCTTGCTATATAATATGAAATGCAGGAGACAGGCATACCTGACAGCTACAAACATCAAAAGGTGCATCATCTGCTAACACCCTATCCAGACGAACCTGAAGTTCACCACACAAAAGATATGAGTGGAGTCACTCCCCACGATTTTTCAGTTAAAGCACAAAGCAGTTTGGGATATCAGTAGTTTAAAGCAAATATTGATCATCACAGCACATCAAGCTAATGACATGGCATCTAAGGTCCTAGTATGTCTAGGAAATGACTCATTAAACATTCCTGATGTTTACGACGAGAAAGAAAGCAATAAAATTATAAAAGATATGAATTTTCAGTTCCATCTGCAAGAATGACAAAACTTGATCATGTGGTTAGCTGATTTACCTCAAAACAATCTCCACACATAAGTCTGGCAGGAAATGAGAACTTTTTGCGGCGTTGATGGTGATCTGCCTCACCATTGTAACGGGTTCGGCAGTCTTCTATCTTTACATAATACAACGGTAATATCAAAGTCAGGCTAGCATTCAACTACCATAGAAAATAAAATATGGACCTCAAAAACTAGAATCCATCATAAATATATAGAGAAATATAACCTTCTAAAAGATGAATTTTTGTTCCGAAAATAAAGGATAAACCTAGCATGTAAATCATCTAAATGGAGGACATTTAACTTTTAAGAAATGAAAGCATTTCATATATCTGATGCATTTAGGCCTGTGATGTCAACTGGGTACAATTTAAGGTTCTGTGACCTTCGCTTGATGTGAATCATCCAGATTAACCTCCAATTAAAAGGCTAAAACCGCAACTTGATCAACATTACCCTCAAGTAAAAATTGATTTTCTATTTCTATCTTGCTGGTCAATGCTACTAGTCAGCTACGAATTATTCAAATTTGATCAGCTAGTACTGGTAAATTACGCGAGCAAAAATGATAGCATAACATGCAGATCAGGTACATGGCACCCTCACCATAAGCAAAAGTTGTCTATGACAACCGCTTTTTTCTTGGGATAAGGTAAAGTTCTACGATGACCTAACCAGTGGCGGAGCTCGAAGCCGACCTACGGGTTCGGCCGAACCCAGTAGCTTTAGTCCAAACTTTGTATTTGTATTAAATATTCACTAAATATGTATAAAAATTAAATTCAGAACCTAGTTACTAACACCATATATCGCTATCCTACAATTTAAAACCCATAAAGTTCAAATCTTAGCTCCGCCTCTGAACCTAACACACAAATAGAGATCCCCAATGTGTTAGTCCACTTCTTATCAACAAACTTGAGTTGTTCCACCATTGTTCATGGAAAGAATATATCAAAAGCCTAACCAAATCAGAGAGTTATTCCAATAATGAAGACTACTAAGAAAACAAGGCAGGTGCACTCGGTACTTATGCAAATAGGATGCGCGCTCAGCAAGTTTAGTAAATTTTGAATCTTAAAAAGAATACTAGCAGAGTACTACTGACGATAAACAGAAACATGAACCTAATCTGACTGGATACATGCAATTTAGTGCTGAACAGCAGAACATCTAATAATGGTTACAAACATCTTTCCACTTTATAAGTCATCAAGTAACAAGAGTGTGTCTTCTAGAAAGTCATATAAATAGTTCAACAAAATAAATTAGCTTGCTGAAAGGAAGTTCTGACCTACAGCGGCAAGAGCAGAAAAGGCAACAAAAATATATTCATCCAGCGTGAACTTACCGAACCATCTGCAATATCAATGCCAACATAATATCCAATCTTTGCTTTATCCCATTTAATAAGATCACCACCCTGGTTTAAACAAAAAACATTGAAAATAAGATGCATGATGACTTGTTTATTACCACCTAGAAAAACTAACAGGTCGGACTGCCAGATAATTGAGATACAGTACAATAGGCAAGAAGTACCTTCCCACAAGCAAGATCAAGGACTGCATCCCCTCTTTTGGCATAAAGTTGAATCAAGACACTCTTGATCTAACATGCCAGAAAACCTTATTAGCAATGAACTATGCAGAATAGCCCTTCCCACGAATAAACAAGACATACCCAATTGTTAAGTTTCTTTAAATGAATGATAGGACTTGCTTCGCGCTCTTCAAGAGTTTGGTTGGTCCTCGCGCTGTAATGATCAGCCACCTTCCTAGCAAAGATTTTTGTACTCTCATCTTCAAGAAAATGAGTGTCGCCTGACACCAGTTCAAACTTTAAATCAAACCGCAATAGAAAACCAACTTCTGACTTCTTTTATCCAAAAGGGTTACAACTTCCTAAAGTTTAGCATCACAAGTTCATTTTTTTACGGCATAATACATCGCCCCTAGCAGTTAAACAACTACCCTGCATAGTAAATAAGATTCTGACATTATACCAATTGTAGCAAAACACTTTAGCAGCTAAAATAACAGTAAAATTCTCTAACTTTCAGGGTGCTAATACAACAACGAAAACAAATATTCTGTATCCATTCAATACAAATAAAATGTCAATAATCAAGTGAGACAAAAAGTATCTTCTAGGTTGTGCTTACACAAAAGTAAAGTTTCCAACTTTACGAGTATTAAAATAGGGGAAAATTACCTTCTGGGGTTGAGCTAAAATAACAATAAAGTCCCTAACTTCATTGGGTATTAATGCAACAATGAACAAAAACTTTGTATCCATATTATACCAAGAATTCTTGGTAAATAAAAATCAAGTGGGGTATTTGATAAAAGAAAAAGAAAAAGGAGAAAATTACCTTCAGGGTTGTGCTTAAATTTGGATTGAGGAGGTCCATGAGAACTGGAAGATGGAGATTCCGAGTAACCTCGTTTCATAATTAGAATCAAGATTTAACAACACTGTCGATTATGACAAATCTGAAAACTACAGGCGTTTTCAGATTCTATAAAGAAGAATGTCTAAAATTAACCAATTTATTAACAGTGAGAGACAGGGAATGAAGGGTAAGTGTTTGATTTTTTTGACTCGGACAGCTTTTGGACTAAACCCCTTTTGGATTCGTTTTTTTTTCCTCATATATACAGTAGGAATAAGGTTACAAGGTATGAGACGGTGCCAGGAAAAGGAAGTAAAATTTCACACAATTAAGTATAGTCCCTCAACTTTGTATTTTACTCCAATTCAGTCCACAATGTAAATCCCACTTAAATAAAAAGTTTACTTACTCCTATTTAAATACCATAAATAAATACTTTATTCTCTATTGTTATACGTTATTCACTAATAATTTGGCCTCTCATATTTCTCAACAAAAAATATTAAACCTTACATACTTCTCAGCAAATATCAACTTACTAATATTCCAACTCTCTTAATAATACAAAGTGAAAAAATGGTGATATATAATTTGAGATAAAAAATTCGTTGTAAGAATATTGAGATAAAAATATTATTATTATTATTATTATTATTATTATTATTATTATTATTATTATTATTATTATTATTATTATTATTATTATTTATTTATTTATTTATTTATTTATTTATTAAAAACTTCGATGCAATTAATATTGCAAAGGTGCACACCCCTTGCAGGTTCACTAGCACCCCACGAGCCGCCCTTAGCCCTTTTCAATCTTTTTTTTGGTAAGAACTTTTTTCAATCTAAATTCGAACCGAAAAATCTACAAATTTATTAATATTTCTAACATATGATGATGTGTAAGTAAGTAAAAATTGCAAAAGCATAAATTTTTATAAGATAATATATTAATATTACATACAACTTCATAGTATTCAAAAAAGTCGATTTTATTTGCCAGCAAAAGGGTTTAGTTATTGATATCTTTAAAGCTACTAATTAAATTTCAAAAATTACCAATTAATAATCGAAATAATAAAAAGACACTTCACAAAAAGAAATCTTAACCCAAATCATGGAAAGATACAAATCAAAATATACCTACCCAATAGTCACATATATATTGAATATGATTAACTAAAAAACAATAAGGGGAAGGGGTCCCAATAAACTGTCACGACCCTAATTTTCCTCCGTAGGATGTCGTGATGGCACAAAATCTCTAAGACTAGATAAGCCTATCAATTATGCGGAATAACGGAATCTAAAACTGAAACTCAAATCTCAACATATGAAATGAATAAAAACTGCAATTCAAAATAGTTACAACACCTAAAACCCGGTAGGATTAAGTCACAAGCTTCTTAGAGAAATACTAAGTGTCTCTAAATATCAGAGTCTAGTGAAGATAAGGAAAACAACATAATAAAGATAGAGGGGGGCTCCGAGGTCTGCGGACGCTGGCAAATGTACTTTGAAAATCTTCGCGTACGTACTAGCTCACTAATACCTAGTTTGGTAGGAAGTACCTGGATCTGCACAAAAAGATGTGCAGAAGCGTAGTATGAGTACACCACAGCGGTACCCAGTAAGTGTCAAGCCTAACCTCGGTAGAGTAGTGACGAGGTCAGGTTAGGACCCTACTGGAAATAATAAAAGACAGGGTGAACAGGTTATCAATATAATAAAAATAATAATAATAATAATAATAATAATAATAATAATAATAATAATAATAATAATAATAATAATAATAATGACAATGGAAGTGAGTCAAGTAAGGAGTATGTCACAATTTAACTGCACAGAGTAAGGACAAATAATACATCACGGAAGAAGAATAAGAATTTACATATTTAGGGAAACACAAAACAATAAAGACAAGTACACCAATGAGAAAATATCAACAATGGCACTCCTGAGGTACCGTCTCGTAGTCCCAAATCATAAATAAATTCACAATATTTTATTTTCTTATATCACCGTGGGAGCATTCACATTTAATTTTAAAGAAATTATTTTTTCCGAAATAGCATCTTGCATTTTAGCCATCCTTATCACACAACATGGCTTCTAGTAGTTCCCCTACTAGCCATGCGTATCAAGCCCACCTTATCTCACCGCATACGTTTCAACACCCATACCTTATACCACCGCATGCGTATCAATAACACAATATATCACAATTCGCAGCTCAAGTGCCCAATTATTTCAACTTGCCAAATAAATCAACAATTACATTATTTTCCACAATAAGGAGCTCACGACTCAATCACAATATATACAAAAATCTCAACAAAATATTCGAGAGTGAATAACTCAACAAAATATTATTTTTCAAATTTAACATTTTGCCTCAATACCAAATTTTAAATGTCAAATACTTCATATTAATAATAATTCAATTAAGAAATTCAACCTTCAAATAATGAGCACAAAATAAAAAAAAAATAAAACTTCAGCTAAACAAGTAAAGCAATTAGCAGGAAAAAGGTAAGGCAAATTTAAAATATAAAAACAGACCAATGATGATGAGTATAACAGGATAACATAATTTATTTAATACGTAATAGAGATCTACACAATTTAAAATTAAATTTTTTCCACATGTAGCTCGTGTACACACTCGTCACCTCGCGTACATGGCTTTCAGCACATCACAATTTTCATAACAATACTAATCCTAAGGAAAATTTTCCCTACACAAGGTTAGACAAGTCACTTACCTCGACTTGCGTTAATTCAATCCACTAGTAGGCCTTTTCCTCGATTATCCAATTCTGAATGACTCGAATCTAGCCAAAACAATTAATTCGATGTCAATCAATACAAGTTATAGGAATTAATTTCATATGAAAATATTAATTTTTCTAACAAAAATCTGAAATTCCACTCAAAAATTGCCAGCGGGGCTCACGCCTCGGAACCCGATAAAAGTTATAAAATATGAACTCCCATTCAACCACGAGTCCAACCATACTAAAATTACTAAATTCCGATAACAATTCGGCCATCAAATCTTCAAATTTAACCAAAAGGGTTTTCACAAAATTTCAACTTAAATCATTAATTAAATATTAAAAACAACCATAGACTTAGGTACTTTAACCAAAATTAAGTTAGGAACTCTTGACCCAATGTTTTTCTTGAAAAACTCTCCTGAAAATCGCCTAACCCGAGCTCTTAAAATTCAAAAATGGGTAAAAATGGCCAACCCCCGAATTATATGTTCTGTCCGGGTATTTTCGCATTTGCGAACCAATTGTCGCTTTTGCGGAGTCGCATTTGCGACAGCATTTCCGCTTCTGTGAAGAAGCGCTGGAAAGCTTCCTTCGCACCTGCGAACAATGGTTCGCTTCTGCACAACCGCAGGTGTGACCTTGTCTCCAGCTTCTCTCGCTTCTGCCGTTCCTTCTATCGCAGAAACGCCTTCGCTTCTGTAGAGTTTGTTCCGCTTATGCAACTCCACTGGGCAGCCCCTTTGTCCGTTTCTGCGAGCCACAGCTCCCTTGTACGAGTCCGCACCTACGGTCAGTCCCTCCGCAGGTGCGATGACACCAGAAGTTGCAAATTTCAGAATTTGCCTAAGACCAAAAATAGATCTGATTTCGATCTGAATCACACTCGGGGTACTCGGGACCCCGTTCGAATATACCAACAAGTCCTAAAATATCATGCGAACTTAGTCGAAGCCTTAAATCACATCAAACAACGCTAAAAATACGAATCATACCCCAATTCAAGCCTAAAGAAACTAAGAAATTCCAACTTCTACATTCGATATCGAAACCTATCAAATCAAGTCCGTTTGACCTCAAATTTTGCACACAAGTCATAAATGACATAACAGACCTATTCAAATTTTCAGAATTGAATTTCGACCCCGATATCAAAAAGTCAACTCTCCAGTCAAACTTCCAAACTTAAATTTCTATTTTAGCCATTTCAAGCCTAATTTAACTACGGACTTCCAAATAATTTTTCGGACACGCTCTTAAGTCCAAAATCACCATACGGAGCTATTGAAATCATCAAAACTCGATTCTGGGGTCGTTTACATATAAGTCAATATCCGGTTAATCTTTTCAACTTAATCCTTTAACTTAGGAACTATGTGTCCTATTTTACTCCGAATCCAAAAACCAAATACCCCGGCAAGTTACAACACCATGATATAGCATTGAGGAAATATAATTTAGGGTATCAGGGTTAAAGTGTTCGTAATGACCATCCGGGTTGTTACATTCTCCCCCTCTTAAACAAACATTCATCCTTGAACGAGTATAGAGATATACCTGAAGTTGTGAAAAGATGAGGATAACAACTATGCATATCATGCTCGGTCTTCCAAGTCGCCTCCTCGACCGGATGACCCCTCCGCTGAACTTTTACTGAAGCAATGCTCTTCAACCTCAACTTTCTAACTTGTCTGTCCAAAATGGTCACTGGCTCCTCAACATAAGATAGATCCTTGTCCAACTGGACTGAGCTGAAGTCTAACACATGAGACGGATCGTCGTGATACTTCCGGAGCATGGAACACTGGATGAACTGCAGTGAGACTAGGTGGTAGTGCAAGTCTATAAGACACCTCTCCAGCTCTCTCGAGAATCTTAAAAGGCCCGATATACCTAGGGCTCAACTTGCCTTTCTTCCCGAATCTCATAACACCATTCATGGGCGAAACCTGGAGCAAGACCCGCTCACCAACCATGAATGCAATATCACGAACCTTCCGATCCGCATAACTCTTCTATCTAGATTAGGCTGTACGAAGTCGGTCCTTTATCAATTTAACTTTTCCAAAGCATCCTGAACCGGGTCTGTACCCAATAGCCTAGCCTCATCCGGCTCGAACCAACCCACTGGAGACCGACATCGTCTACCATACAAAGCCTCATACGGTGCCATCTGAATGCTCGACTGGTAACTGTTGTTGTACGCAAACTTCACAAGTGGAAAGAACTGATCCCAAACACCCCCAAAATCCATCACACACGCACGAAGCATGTCCTCCAATATCTGAATAGTGCGCTCGGACTGTCCGTCTGTCTGAGGGTGAAATGTTGTACTCAACTCCACCCGAGTGCCCAACTCACGCTGTACGGCTCTCCAGAACTGTGATGTAAACTGCGTACCCCCCGATTAGAGATGATAGATACCGGTACGCCATGAAGCCTCGCAATCTCGCGAATGTAAACC